CAAACTCCTGGCCTCAAGCAATCCTCCCACTTCAACCTCTCAAAGTGCTGGGATTATAGGGGTGAGCCACCATGCCCACCCAAGAATTCAGCCTTCTAAGCATAGTATTTTAAAGACAACATCTATAATTAATAAGAATTAGAATCATCGAAGACAAAGGTTTATGTGTGTTAATTTATATATATGCTTTTTAAGCAAGGACTTCTCAGTTGAAAGTGGCAGAAGACCGACACAAACTAGGTAAAGAAAAAAAACGACTCTCGGTAGACACTGACATGGGTAAGAAATTAGATGCTGTTGTAATTCACTGAGATTTAAAGATTGTTTGTTAGGGCAGAAAACTTAGTCCAAGCTGACTAATACAGAGAGTAAACTTAGTTTCTAGCTTTCCAGTTCTACTCTCCTTATGAGTTGATTTTATTTCAATTTCCACAAAATCCTCTGAGATCACCTAATTGGGTTTCTGGTCTGTACAACCAACAATCCCTGCTAAAACTGATTTAAAATGATATTTATTTAGAACTATTTTGTTCTTAAAGATTTATCACGCAATGGGTTCTACCCTGCCTTATGCCAAAGTTAAGTTTTAGGCACATATACACTTTGAAAAGTCCATCAACTTGTTTAGGTGAGGGAAGTGCAATTTACTATACTGATGGTAAGGACAAATTTTTGCCTGTACATTATTCATAGTACCCAGTAACAGATGGCTGTATAATTTTCTCTTACTGTATGCAAACTGTGATTTGACCTGAAATCCCAATTAATAACATCTTTTCATAGCATACACAGGAAAAATAATTTCTAGTACTTCAAAGTTATAACAATATCTTTATTGGACAATCTGAAAAAAACTGAGTCATATCAGCTATCATTTTAGCTTTGTTATGGAAAAAATACTATTGCTTAATACATAAATCTTTATGTAGTATTCTTATTTCTTGAGCTTAATTCAACTGAGTATTCTCTCTGGACCCATGAGGATGTGGCTCTCTCTTTTAGGCCACCTTCCAGAGCAGTCTTGGACTATATGCTCTGAAAGGAAGAAGCAAAGTACCCTAAATAAGGAGGTGAGGTTTTTATGCGGTAATTGTTGACCAGTGAGATACTGATTTCTATTTTACACAAATGGTTTATAGTGGTGCCAACTGAAATTAGTAAAATGATAAACATTATTTTCTCAAAATCCTTTCACAGATATTGCTTTAACTCCTTTTCATCCTTGTGGGTGGGAAGCATACAGAGGTTCTGAGACTTGCCTAAAGTCTTCTGCAAGTAAGTGGGAGCATCAGTTCTTGAACCTGGATCTCCTGTCACCTCGTTCTTTCCATTATGCCTTAGCACAATGAGACACAACTGTCTTCTCTGTAACAATCACTTTAAAATCTGTAAAAATGTTTACATTGTACACAGAATGTTTTCATTGTAGAAGTAAAAGAAATTTTAAAACATGAACATATGCTATCTTTTACATTTATCACAGGAACATATAAATTATAATGTGTTTACTGCTGATATATGTGGTTAACTGAATATCATTTTAGTAGCATTATATAACATATTTTGCTACACAAGTATTTAATGAGATGCCACCATAAAAGCTAAGCAGATATTTTTTTCCAGAATACCTTGGAAATAAAAGTATATAAATTGACAATTTATTTTAAGATGTTATTTAAATTGCAAATCTCCACTAAAAAACAAAGATAAGAGAGAAATAACATTTGATAGATTTAGAATGAATAGTGTTTAGGACAGAAAGGAAAAGAATATCTTTGCTCATTAGCACAAACACAAAAGAATGGTTACAAATACATTAATGATTCAGTGATTGATAAAACACATCAGGAATTCAAGGATAATGTTAGGATTTAGGAATGTGAACTGCTTAAAATTGCAAAGAAATAATAGTGACTACAATTGCCCATTTTAAATTGTTTACAAAATCATTTTTTTTGCATTGCAATTCTTTCACCAACCTAAGTTGAATAAAGGAATATAGCAAGTGCTGATAATAAATAAAAACTGCTACCAGATATTTGACTTATAAGACCACTTCATGTAATGTTATTTTTCATGGATTTTGGCAGCTGCAGATATCTGAAAAACATTTTAATTTGGTCAATTGACAACTAATGAATTTCAACCAGTTGTTTTTAAAACCACTTAAAAGATTAACTTCAGCCATTTTGTCTTGAATGTGTAAGATGATGACAAATGCCTATGGGGAATACTTATTCACAGGATTTTCTAATCAGTAGAAATGATTAATATGGTAGAATATGAATGAAAACTATTCAAGTCTAGTAATAACCTGTGTTGATAACTAACTGCCCAACTTTGGGAGACATGCTTAGTTTAATTCTTTGCTCACTGATTTTTGAAGGACACAGAAATTCCAGCCCATGAGCTTTTGTGGAGATAGTGGTATCATTAACTAAAACACAAACTATATGAGAACATTTGCACTAACACATTAACTTTCTTATTAAAGAAATAAGGTTGGGGAGTAATGTTTGTTGTTCATCTAATAGATGACAAATGAATGCTAAAATCTGTCATCCTTCTGCCTTACTTATTCCTTGGTAGTTTAGTAATCCTTATATTGACCAAACAAAAGTATGCCTAATTATTGTTTTGCAAAAGATCAGAGAATAAATGGTCTTTTAGCCTATTTATCTTATGTCTCAAGGGTTTTAACATTATTCTTTTTTAGCACAGATATCCAAATTTTAACCCAGTCAGCACCACAGTGGCTAGTCAACAACTTCTATTACCAATAAAACAAATGGATTAACATTTCAATCCACATAGAACTTGACAGAGATTTAAAGGTTCCTTTTGATCTTAATGGATCAAGTATAGACTTTTCTTCACAGAAAAATAAAGCTGTGATTTGACCATGCTACTTAGTTTGTGGCTCTAAGTTCTTTTTCCAGACAGGGTGATTAATTTCCTAGTTCCAATGATACTTTTAGGGCAATTCAACATAGGTTCCAGTTAGCAGTTTTTGAGTGAAATCATAATATGAAGAAAAAATTGGCTTTGAACTAAAGTTTTGAAAACTTTCAAAATTAAATGTCATTTTTAAAAGCTTAAAGTGTTTTAAAAACAGTGGTGTGTGCCTAGTGGGTTCAGTTTTGTGCTAAATGCAATTTCCATCAGTACTAACATGGTTTAACTAGTTATATGTGAGAACACAATGACTGTAAACATGGATCACAATTAATCGGGATAAGGAGCTGAGAAAACCTCCACTCATTGCTGCAAATAGTGACATTTTATATTTTTCTGGCTGTAAATAAAATATCAGTGTTTCAGCCTTAATCTCAGGGTTAGCCATACTCAAAGGGCAGCCTTTCTATTCTAGAAGGAATGCTGTGAACTCAGAGTGGGGCCACAGCTGAGGCAAGAACACCATCTTCAGTTCTAGCTCATTCTTGGGCATGTGTCTCAGTGGTGTAAAGAAAACCTCCCTGCAATAATCCTGAACCCCTAGCGTGCCCTCCACACACCCAACTAAATGGATCATTTAAAAAGTCAAAGTCAAATTTATGTACCTCTCCTGAAGTAATTTCCTTCCTTCTGAGCAGTGTAGGCGTAATATTATAAAGATCTCTTTTCTCCTGAGCCTTATTTTCTAGTGTGTGTGTGTTTGTAGGGGGAGCAATAAATAAATACAAAAATAACATGATAATTAAAATACGCAGCATGCCAGACAATGATAAGAAGTACTACTGAGAAAAATAAAGCTGGGAGGGAACTAAGGGGTGTCTGTCCCGGTGGATGGCACTGCAAAGGTGACATCTGAGCAAAGACCTGAAGGAGACAAGTGAGTGAGCCATTCTGATCCAGGGTACTGGGGAAAGAGAGTCTCAGGCTGAGGAGGCACCAAATGCAAAGGCCCTGGTTTTGGCTGAAGAGCAGCAAGAGGCACAGTGTGGCTGGAGCAGACGGAGTGAGTGGGAGAAGACCAAAGGGAACAGGCCATGTAGGTCCTGCTATTCTACCAACGGCCTGAGAAGCACAGGGAATCACCAGAGGGTTCTCAGCAGATGAATGGCACAACCTAACATGTTAAGGCACTCTTCTCTTCTTAAATAGCCGTGGTGGAAGCACCATCAAAAGAGACCAGAAAGGTAAATCTGGTAACAGGTGTCCCAAAGTTTACACATACAACTACTGAAAGAGGAAAAGGGTTAACTCCGGAGGCACGGTGTGTGGTACTTGGGAGGAGGGGGTTTCCCAGGGAGACACCCGCCTGACTTTCAGGCCGCAACGGCGCAGAAATGCGCAGAAAACTCGGTCCTTGGCACTCCAATCCCAGGACCCCCTCCAGGAGGGTCAGGGCCCAAGCCCGCACACCGCGTTGCCATGACAACCGTAGGCTCCCCTCTCCCCTCCGCTTCCTAAGCGTTAGGCACCCAACGCCGCGTTGCCTCCAGCGGGAGCGCCAAGTCTGACCCAGCGCGGGCTCATCAGCATTCCGCCCGCGGCGTCTCCCCCGCCCCCGCCGTGCCACACGGCCCCCGCCTATCCAACAGCGACAGCCGCCTGCTGTCAGCGAGACCCCACCAACCCCACCTCAAACCTTCCCGGGGGCTCACAGCCCACCTTGCCCTGGAGCGTGCCTAGCGGCCCTGGGCACTGACAAAGCTCTTCCTAGCTACGCAGCGCTTTTCCTTACACTGACTGCGGCCACAGGCTGCAGACCCACCGCGGAGAGGGGGCGCCCAGCACCCGGCTCGCCCCCAGCGCGCCGGGGTAGACCCGCTCTTAGGCACCCCTGCAACAACTCTCTAGGGACATTCGACTCCTTAGTGAGCCGTTTTAAGATCCCCGACGCCTCCTGCAATGCACCACACTGGGGAGGTAAACATCGAAGGCACCTGCATTGCGCCCCCGCTGGGATGCGCTGTGCGCAAAAGAGGACACTGTCTGCTGCCAAACCAGAGCATCGGAGGCGCAGGGAGTTAGGAGTGGGTTTTCTTAGGACTCACCTTGTGCAGTTTCCACATGGCTCCCAGAGCCTTGACTTCGTGGCTGGAATGTTTGCCCTCCTCCAAACACTGGTAGCACACGGGCATCTTGCACTGCACGCAGTACATGCTGTGGTTCTCCAGCTCGTGGTCTGTGCAGGTGGAGACCTTGCGCGGGCTCAGTCTCCGGCTCACGCGGCCCTGAGCCGGGGGCACCAGCCGGTGCTTGGCTAGGGGTCCCCGTGGCGGGTGGCAGCGCAGGCGGCATGGATCGCAGTAGAAGACATCGCACTGTTCGCACATGACCGTGGCCTCCTTGGGCGCCTTCTCGCAGAGCTGGCACTTGAGGGCCGCGGCTTTGCTCTGCTGATAGCGGTCAATCACCCCTTCCAGGACACGGTTCTTGGGGAAGCCGCGGAGCCCCCGGTCATCCAAGATGAGACTGCGGTGGCACTGGGGGCAGGTGATACAGGAGTTGCGGGGCACCGGGGCCAGGGCCGGTGACAGGTGGGTGGCGGGTGGCGGCATAGCTGGGGGAAACACGCGGACGCCATTGGGGGACTTCTGGCACGGGGTCGTGGGGGCGCTGGCGAAGCCCCCGTAGGAGCCATAGCCGCTGTCCGCCTCGCTGTACAGGCTCATCTTGTCCAGGTCCAGATAGTCATAGTCGGAGACCCCAGAGCCCGAGGCCCGACGGCTCTGAGGGGACTCAGACTCCGGGGTCTGCACCAGGATGTTGCGGGCGCACGCCTGACATAAATTGTGAGAGCAGGGCAGGATGATGGGCTCCCGATAGAAGGAGCCACAGACGGGGCATTTTAACTCCTCTTCCATCTCTTCCATGGGGACCGGTGTGGGAGCGAGGCAGCGGCGGCTGCAGCGGGTGCCTGAGGTGGCGAGCTGGCCGACGGGCCTGTCTTGTCCAGCACCTTGGCCAGCGGCGGCGGCGGCTGCTGTGGTGGCGTCTGCTGTGGTGGCGGCTTCCCGCGTCGTCTTGGCGCCGACACCCAGCGAGGCGCTCTCTCTGAGAGCCGCGGAGCCGCCGCGCCGCGCGCCAGCCCCGGACCGCCCCCTCCTGTCCTCCTAGCCCCGCCCCGGCCCGTGAGCCGCGGCCCATTGGGCGGCGGGCGAGAGAGCAAAGCTCTTATTGGCCGGACGCCCTGTCCGTCTCCTCTCCTCCGCAGGCCACAGGGGGTTTGGTGGCGTCTGGGGATGAGGGGAGTCTTCGCTCGCGGCTGCATGATCTCGGGAGGGGGCTGGCGTGCGGAGGCTCCGGGACCGGGAAGGAGGAATTAGGCGGGATGACTCATCCCTCGCCCCACTTCCTTCCGACCTCCGGTGTAGTCACCCAGGAGCAGGGGGCGTGAGAAACCCCTCCCGGCGGCGAGTGGGCTGGCGGAGGGGGCTGGGGCTTCTCGGCGACATTTGCGTTTGGCTTGCCGCTCTGATCTCGGCGCCCACCTACCAGCGGCCGCTGTGCGCAGCGCGGGGGACGCCCCTCTTCGGTCGCAGGCGGCCCCGGCCGGGGCCTCACCCAGGCCTGCGTTTCTGCGCGGCGTTGGGGCTTTTCCCACCTCCAGGAAGCCGCTGAAGCCGACCCCGGCCCCCGCCCCCCAGCCCGGGAGTCTGACGGCGCTGCTGTGAGCCGTGGCAACACTCTCTGCTTTGCACCCTCGGTCCCTCCTTTCTAAAAGAGGATTAATAATACCGATTTCCTAGTGTTGCCATGAGATTTAACTAGGTAACTGATGTAAAGGCCCAGCGTTAGTCAAAATCTACGCCCCCTTCATTTCACGCTTTAAATCCAAGCTCGGCCCACAGGCGTCTAGGCTTTGGTGCGAACGTGCTTCTGTCCCTCTGCCTCCTCCCTGCCTGCCAAAGCTGTGCTCTCACCCTGCTCTCAGCACCTGCCTGAGCTTTAACCAGACCTCTGGTTAATATCGAGGCAGGAATAGTTTGTCTATTTCTGGGCGCCCACAGTTTGGTAACTAGCTGTGTAAATGAATCACTGAGACTGCGGAGTCTCAATGTTTGACTCCAAACAGCATCATTCAGTGCCACGTGCCCTGAGCATCTGCCACAGCTTACAGCAGGGTGTATTTTTCCCCCAGTGACGTAGGTGGTAATGATGGTGGTGGTGGTTCTAGTGTTAGTCCATATAAAGAGAGGAAGGGAGAGAGGGAGGAAGGAAGAAAGAGAGGGGCAAGGAAGGGAAGGAGGAAGGGAGGGAAGGAAAAGAAAAGAAGAAAGGAAAACCTTTATGGGACTTTCTGAGGCAGTAACATTTCAAATAGTACATGGCTGGCTTTTTGCTGAATGATTCATGAAGTAAATGACAAAAAGTCTTTGCAAGTTCTAAGAACTCTTCCAATTTTCCATCTTACAGAAAAGAGATAATTGATTATATGCAGCTACATTCACAATTTTAAACCGCTTTATTTTCAATTTTTAAACCAGAAAGAAAATGGACATTTTAGAGCCTTGCCCTGATAGAAATAGTCCAATAAACTAAGTTATCTTTCCAACACCTTCTTTAGTTACAGTGAGAACAGTAGTTGATCGTTGTTATTTAAAGCCATGTTGATCATAAATGCTACGTGATTTATTTTAAACCTGACTTTTAACTGAGCATCCAAAGAGGTACATGTACTCTTGTTTACAGGCATAGAATTTATTCAAGTGTGGTTGGGACATTATCTGCACTTGGCAGGATATATCTAATTTATGGGTCCCAAGATAATTTACTTTTAACAAGTTATTGAGAAATTGTTACAAAAGCATGTCCTTCCATAGTTTTTGTATGCATTTGGCCACAAGTCACAGTAGCCTTGGCTCAGCAAGGTGAGCAGCTGTTATTCTTTTTATGAGTTTGAACTTTGCTTCTCACAGTATACCATCTAAGAGGTCTGCTTATTAGCAGAAGCCTAGTTCAGAGTTCTGCTAGCAGAACTAGCAGAGCCTAGTTCAAAGTAAAGATAGCATTAGAGGGTGTCTGACTGTTGAGAACTATACAGAGAGAACTATACAGATTTATAATATAGTCAATAGAGAAAGATTTCATCTATTATGAAGTGTCTTGACATGATTTAATTGTTACATCTATTTGGTTAGGAATAAGCTAAATCAGTCAATCCTAGGAGAGCCCTTAGAATGACTCTCATTTGTTGAGAGTTCACCCTGTTTCAGGTAGTGGGTTAATTTGTTTATATACATTACTTGGTTCAATCCTGTAATTACAAGAAGAGCTAGATACAATTATCCCCACTTTACAGATGAGTAGACTGAGGATGAGCAAAAACAGGTAAGTACTCAAGGTCAAATACTGGTGAAGCTGGGATTAGAATCCAGCCACTTATAAGTTTGTATCTTTGTTTATGTGTTCATTCAACAAATGCTGAGTTTTACTCCTTGTCAGGCTCTGTGTGTAATAAATACCCAAAATGTTTTTTTGTTAACTTCTATGATATTCTATTTACCTTCACTGAGTGTTTATTATTTTTCTTGAATTCACTTCTCTGAGACATTTTTGTGGCCTTTGAAGATTTTCCTGTCATGTTGTACTATGTGGCCGTGATGTACTTTGAAGTCCTCCAATGAGTCATGTTTAAAGGGGAGTGAAAATCAGATTGTAACTGATGATACTGTAGAAATGCTATACCATTGGGGAAAAAGCTTCTGTATCCCAGCTGGTGATCTGTCCATGCCCTGAAGCACAAGGATTGATAGCCCTGTAATTTCGTCATTCCTGGGGTGACTGCAGATGTTCTCATTTGTATAAAGTGCTTGATTAGCCTCTGAAACTTACTCTTCACCCAAATGATGTTCTTTAGCAATGAGGTGAGCAAATTTAAAATGTAGTGGCAGCTTTTCTTTTTTTAAAAGAAAAGATAAATGCTTCTCAATGAAAAATTGAGTTGCTTTCCTATTTGCTTTGGACTACAATACTTGATTATTAACAAAACAGTCTCTTTGAGTCTAATGAATAAACACAGAGAATAAAGCATTCTCTCTTATTTCCTCTCCACTTTTTTTCCTACAGCCATCTACCTCTAGTTGAAGGGGGAAAAATCAATGAAAGGAGCTGAGTATAGGCTCTGACTCTTTAAAATTCTCTGAAACATATACAAAAATATTTTATTAAAGTATTTGATTAAGGGTATTGCTGAATGTGATTTGTAAAAATTGGATCATTTGAAAAGTGATGGATGTGATGTTTCTATTTTCAAAAGAAATTCTGAGGAAATTTCTTTTTATGAGGTATTTTAGAAACAAAATATTTAGAATATTTGGTTTCATCCTTTAATAACATACATTTATTTATTTTTGACATCCTTTGATTTTTTTTTTCTTTTTGAGACAGGGTCTCGTCTCATTCTGTTGCCTGGGCTAGAGTGCAGTGGCATTATCGTAGCTCACTGCAACCTCAAACTCCTGGGCTCAAGTGATTCTCCTGCCTCAGCCTCCCGAATAGCTGGGACTACAGGTGGGCATCATCATGCCTGGTTAAATTTTTTAGTTTTTTTTTTTTTTTTTTTTTGACAGAGTCTCACTTTGTTGCCAAGGCTAGAGTGAGTGCTGTGGCATCAGCCTAGCTCACAGCAACCTCAAACTCCTGGGCTCAAGCGATCCTCCTGCCTCAGCCCCCCAAGTAGCTGGGACTACAGGCATGTGCCACCATCCCTGGCTAATTATATATATATATTATATATATATATATATATATTATATATATGTTAGTTGGCCAATTAATTTCTTTCTATTTATAGTAGAGACGGGGTCTTGCTCTTGCTCTTGCTCAGGCTGGCTTTTCAAACTCCTGACCTCGAGCAATCCACCCACCTTGGCCTCCCAGAGTGCTTAAATTTTTTTGTTTTTGTAGAGATGGGGTCTTGCTATTGTCCAGGCTGGTCTCAAACTCCTGGCTTCAAGCAATTCTCCCACCTCAGCCTCCCCAAATGTTAGGATTACAGGTGTGAGCCACCGTTGCTTGGCCTCTTTGATGTTTTCAATTATGTGATTAATATTGTGAATTAGGAGCTTTTTGCCTACCTAGTACTGCTGGAAGATGACCTTATTCAAATTCTGTAGTATTTCTAACTGTAAGTAATATGTTACTAAGGCTTTGGGAAGTGTAGACAGGAAAATATAAGAAAATGAAGGTTTAATGAATCTTATATTGAGGTAAGAGAGTTGGAGGATAAATCCAGGAGACCTAACTTACAAATAATAAGAATCTCAGAATGAGGAAATAACACAGTTGGAAGAAAAAACACAATTAAAAAAAATAATGAGATTACATTACATAAAAAAAGACATGAGATTACATATTGAAAGGACTTTGGAATTATAGATGACATTGATGAAAAAAGACCCAGTCACATACAGATATAATTCTTGAACTCAGAGGAAAAAAAGAACATCTTACAAGCTCCCAGACATAAAGAACAACTTAATCATAAAGAAAAAAGAACCAGATGGGCATCAGATTTCTTTCTGCATCCTTAAAGGTGAAAAGAATGTGAAATAAATTCTACAACCTACTGAAAGAAGCTACCCTGTCTTAGTCCGTTTTGTGCCACTGTAACAGCATACCATGGACTGGGTAACTTGTAATGAACAGAAATGTATTGACTCATGTTTTTGAGGCTGGGAAAGCCAAGATCAAGGCACTGGCATCTGGTGACTGCTTTCTTGTTGCATCATCCCATAGCAAAAGGGCAGAGAGAGGGCAAGAGGGGCAGAATTTGTCCTTTTATAAGGAACCTACTCCACGATAACAAACTCATTAATCCATCCATGACAGTGGTGCCCCCATGACCCAAATACCGCTTATAGGTCCCACCTCCTAACGTCTCCGCATTGAGGATCGGGTTCCCAACACATGAACTTTGGTGGACACATTCAAACCATAGCACACTGTTAAACTTCCACTGATAGTGTCATAGTGGAACCAATTATATTGCACCCATACCAGGCAATATGATGAATCCATTTAAAAAGAATGAAATTCATTAGCATTTTATTTAGAGGCATTTCTATTAAATATTATTGATTGAAAAAAGTAAGATACACAGGGGTGTA